TCCTTCACAGACTCTTGCTCTGTCCCATGTCCACTGCTGTTGTATGTTCAATGGTAAGGAAACAGAAACAGCCTAAATGCCCTTCAACTGAAGAATGGACAGAGAGATTGTGGTACATATATATAATGCAATACTATTAAGCTGTACAGAAAAATGAAATTATGAACTCTGTGGATAAATGGATAGGTCTAGAAAATATTGTATCAAATGAGGAACCCAGACCCATAAAGTCAAATGTCACATGTTCTCTCTTATCTATGGATCCTATTACAAGTCTTCACATGTGAGTCTATAACCTGGAATAACCACTGAAGTCAAGGAGAGATAAAGGATCCCTGTAGCTCTAGAGAAGATAGTAGGACACAGGTGGTGTGAAGGGGAAATAGGTAAAACCAGGGTTGATAGTTAACTGGAAGGGGGTGAGGGAAAGCAGTACAGAGAGGAAGGGAAGGGGGAGAGACAGCGCTGTTTTAAAATGGTTTTTTAAAACCATAGAGAAACATAAATAATATTTACTTGAATATATAGACATAGCTTAACACTCTGTGAATATATGTGCGTGTGCGTGTGCATATGCACACAGATACACACATCTATGTTTTGGGTGAAGTTACACTACCTGGTGTAATGATACTCCCTAAAGCCCTAGACTATCTAACAAAAACCCCAGTGCCAGGCATGAGAAATCTCCCTTGGAGTTATTGATGAAGAATCCAAGAAGCTGTCAAAGGATTCAGGCTGTTGCTGTTGCCTTTGGTTGCCTCCCAGAACTTGAAGGCAAGACCCTACGACTGAAGTCACCACACACTTCAGACACAGGAGGAAGTGACCTGGAAGTCTCCTCCCTGAGCACCAGCTCCCATGGATCTGAAGGTGGTATGTGAGCTGCCACGGGAGAGGAGCAGACAACAGTCATACCTATGCCAAGCCTATGAACTCAATAATTACCAGGTCGGTGAGATAGTCCCAAGAGTGCAATGTCTTGGAGGTAGCCAACCCAAGGCCCACTCACTAGGAGGAATTCATGCCCAGTTTTACAAATCTAGCTCATTACTGATGAACAGTGAGGTCCTGGACCCTAGAGGAGACCAAACTATCACCACTTCCCCCAATCAGTATAAATCCCAACTGCATTCTAAATACCTGTCCTTATACCAACAGATAAGTGTAAATGTTCCAATCACCCTTAACACACACACACACACAAAGCTTGCTTTTTTTAAAACAGACAAAGACCATTACAGAAACTCATAACTTTTCAAAATGTTATGGGGAGTCCATCAGAGATTACTACTTACAGATTACAGTCATTAGAAAGACTTTATACTGACCAGCTGGAACTACAGTTGGGTATTTGGGGACTCAAGTGTAGCACTGAGTGTACAGAGCTCAGAATTTTTGAAGGCAATAACAATATGTTGTTATTTCACTAAGCAGTTGCAGCAGAATCACTGTCAGGAGGCCTTTGAATGGGGTAGTTTTGTGTCAACAGTCAATTTGACAGATGCTAAGATTAACAATTAGTTAGGGAGGGGAGGTTTGCCCAAGCAAGCAGTCTAACAGAAGTTAAGGTAGGCTAGCTGGGCATCTGGACCTAGGGTTTCTAGAATAGAGTTGGGTAATTTTGTACTGGATTCCCCATCAAGGACAAGGGAAAATCAACAAAAAGTATTTAATTTTTGCTACATTCAAAAGTTGCCTACAATAAGCTTCACACTGTACAAGATATCACAGATTTCAGCAGACTCATTCTCCAAACACCATACTATCCAACTGAAGCACAATACCTTCTCCTCCTCTTAAAATTCTTGACAAAAAAAAAAAATCCCCAATAATGTTGAGACCAAGTAGGAGGACTCCAAACTCCAAGCCTGAGCAGCTGAAACCACTGAAGAAATAAATTCCTTGGAGAGAGCCCTAGTTATCCTTGGCCAGCGTTATCTCACAGATCCAGGGGTTGGGCTTCTGACATAGATTATCATTCCACAGACCACCCGAGGTGAAGTGGGCACAGTCTTCACCCCCTCCCAGTCCGTGTCCATACCAGTTGTCCGGCTGCTCTGGGGCCCAGTTCCTATGAACAAACACAGATGTGGGACTCCAGAAACCAGACTCTAAGACATACCCCCCTGACTCTACCACCCACCCCAGGTCCAGAGCCTTGGAAGTAGAGGAACTTCCAGGCAAAGGCATTAGACCAGGGCAAATGTGACATACACTCACTTAAAGCCTTTCTCAAAGTCGGTCCCATCCACCCATCGCCAGGGCCCATTTTGGTCTGTTAGGCCGATCCAACTGATCTGATAGGCTAAGCGATTCTGCAGAAAATTCTAAAGAAAGAAAAAGGCATGGTAACCTCTCCCTTAGACCAGGTAGCCTACCAAATAGAGCCTGCCCGGGCATCACCTGCTCCTCCAGGGAGTTGACGACCACCAGGTGAGAATTCTCCAGCCTGCAGTACTTGTCAGCTTCAGGCCACGACTTCTGAGACTGAGAGAACCATTAGCAGCTGCCTTCATGCTCCGTCCAGTGAAGGGGGCAGCAGGCCACTTCTGAGCCTAAGAAAAGCAAAGCAAAGATGGAGAGCAGAGGCAATGCCTATTGTGTCCTTGCCTCCCAGAAACTAGAGCTAGCCACGCCCATCCCCTTCTCACTGTTGCTCTTGAGGTTGGCCAGATGGCATGTCAGGACCTTCTCCAGGTGTTGCACACGATCGGTTATGTCAGAGAGATCTGGGACACACAGATGACAGTGACAACAGTGCTCTAGCTGTGGCATCTGCTGGTACTCAGATGTCCTGAAATAGGCTCAGTCTCGGACCATCTCCACACACTGCGCATGCTCACACCTCCTGTCAGTGCGATACACCGCGCATGCTCACACCCCCTCTCCATGCTCAGTTTGGGAACATCTTGACACACTGCACATGCTCACACCTCCTGAGGCTCCAGGGGAACCTCAGCCTCCCCTGTTTTGAGATCCTGCCCCTTCTCCACTGCGCTCACCAGAGATTCCACCTTCTGGCTCAAGCCTTGGCCTGGAAGAGAACAGTTCAGCACCAGGAACCACACTCACCCACACCCTTCGGCACACTCTGGAGACCAGGGCCCCTCACCTGTCTCCAGCTTCTGCCTGTGATCCTCCTCCTCCACTTTCAGAGAACTGATCCCTACTTGCAAGCTGTCAGCTGCAGAACAAGGAACTGGAGCTCAGGACTGTCCACCCTACCCAGCCCACTCCAGCCCAGAACCCGGTGAGAGCCCTGCTCACCCCTGGTTTCCAGGGCCTGGAATGCAGCCTTTATCTTGGAGGTGGTGTTGTCTAACGTGACTCTCAGGGTGTCTAGGTCTCTCCTTAACTGGGAACCTGATGAAGACGACAGGATAATGAGAACCACAGTTTCTCAGGTCCACTCTGTGCCAGCACTAGGCCGGGCTCCTTGCACAGAGTGACACTCTGCCTCACAGAGACCCAGTGGGCAGGCACTGTTGTTACCCAGTAGTGCACAAGCATAAGCCGAGGCTGAGGGGGTGACGTGACACGACTGTGGAACCCAAGGACAGTAACAGGTGACTCGGTCAGCAGCTGTCTGCCCATGGGTCCTCCATGTCCCCACCAGTGTCCCCACCACTGCTTTCATCTATTAAGTCACTGTCCCTTGTGGTCCTTTATGCTTGTCCTCGCCATGGCCCTCGCTGCTGTCCATCTGTGCCCTCTGCACCAGTCACTGTCCTGCTGAGGTTCTCTTCCTCCATCCCCGCCCCCATCCTCTGATTCCCCTCTTCCCTGCAACCCACTTTGGGATCCAATCACGGAGACAACCACCAGAAGGAGGCTGAGGCCCAGGGAGAACAGGAGGAGATGGGTCCAGGAGAAGATGTTGCTCAGGAAGAACGTGGGAGGAGCTGCTGAGAGAGAAGGGAGTGTCAGAGATTAAATCATCTATTGCAGTGACTCTCCACTGATGGATTTTTATCCCTTTGGGGGTGGGATGAGTCTTCCCCAGGGGTCATATATCAGATATCCTGCATATCAGTATAATACACAAAGCTTTATAACAGCAGGAAAATCACAGTTGTGAAGTAGCAATGAAATAATCATATGGCCGAGGGTCACCATCACATAAAGAACTGTATTTAAGGATCAGAGCATTAGGAAGATTGAGAGCCACTATGTTAGAGTTGTGAAAGAGACAGGAGGTCCCAGGGACCTTTCTAGAGGTAACTGTTTGCCTTTGGTTGTGCTGTAAGAGGGAAAGGTTGAGGGCTGGGGTGGAGGTACTCCAGCCTCTCACCGCTCACGGACCACACAAGTGCTCACCCACAGAAATTTCTCATCCTATCAGGACTCATGTCCGCAAGCATGGGAATGCACAGACATTACACATATTCGAACGGTGACAGTGGCACTCTGGGAGGTTCTACATCAGAGCTGGAGGAGTACAGCAATGACACAGAGGCAGCTGGGGACAGCCAGGACACCACTGGGGCTTTTAGCCTCTGCATGATTGTGTGTGCAAAGAGTGTGCTACTTCAAACCCAACACACCGTGCACACCTCCCCCCCATGCTCTTCCACATAGCACAGGAAGCCAGGTCACTCAGATCTTCCTGTCCCTGTCTCTCTGAGGTCCTTTTATGTGCAGTGTGATAGGGCCTGGAGTGGGCCTGAGCACACTGCTGCATGGTGAGCCACGGCGGCACAAACCTTGATCCACATAGACAGCATAGACCCTGATAGACATACTTAGAGCAAATTTTGGAGACTCCATTCTTCCTTTCTTGTCACCTTTTCTCATCTTCTGGTTTTTCTCCTCACTCTCCAAGTACTGGATGTTTTCATATATCATTGTCATGTTTCCACAAACACAAGGCTTCCAGGACAGTCAGAACTAAAATGGAGAAACTAGGGTTCAGTTAGGCTATCCATCTAAGAAGGGGGTGAGAAGCATGGTGGAGCTGAGGGCAGGGCTGCAGCTGGGGTAGGGTATCCGTGTGGAGAATGAGCCTAGGTGGTCAGGAGGATGGAGATAGGCATGCATTTGCAGCCGAAGCTAGACGTGAAGTCAGAACTGGATCGGCCTCTGAGGAGGAGTGGAGCCTGGGGCTGAAGTTGGAGGCAAAGTCGGAGCTAAGGACATTTAATTCTCTGCTACTTTGTGACTCGCGCAACACTGGCCAAAGTAAGAAAGTAGTTGAAAGACAACAGCATTCTGTCTCTTTGGGACTAAAGGATATCTTGCTTGATCACAGAGGGAACTCACCAGTACTCTCAAACACTACAAATGCCATGTGTAGAAGGGCATTGTTCAATTTACTTTGAGAAAGCTGATGTGCTGTGTCTACCTTTCCCTCTTGGGAGGCACTATGTGACATCTCCATTCTGGGGGATCTCAGATGCTAGAGTAAAAGGAAACTGCTTTTTATCTAGCCCGTCATCTCTAAAAGATAGGAAGTCGGGGAGGTTTTTATTTGCATCACACAATCATTTATTTGTATTGATGGCATGTGTGTGTATGTGCACACATGTAGCATGGTATACACACGGAAGCCAGAGGCTCATAAATAGGAGGTGGTTCTCTCCTTCCACAGTGTTGCTTGGAAGCAAGCTCCTTTACCCAAAAGCCATCTTGCTACCCCAACAACCTGGTTTTGTTTTCTCAGTGATGTCTATCAGTAACTCAAGGACCAACTTGACCATCTGGAATACATCATCATCACAACCTTTCTAAACATTTTCATGGCCACCTATAAGTAAGTCTAATATTTTTGTGTTTAGAAAGAATAAATAGCTAAATTTTCATGATGGTTTGTGGTTCGAAAATCTAAAATATAAATAACTTAGAACTCTTTTTTTAACACTCTAAATGAACAAAGTCATACTGTTCTTTAGAATATTTGCAAATAAAAATTAAATGTTAAGACCTCAAAAAATGCTACTGCTGAGTTAAGAGGAAGTTGAACAGTCTCATGCTGAGACTGGCACCAGTACCCAGTTGGTAGTATAGAAGGGATTGGGCCTGGACTTGCAATAAAACTGGAAGTTAAGACCTAAGTGTGGACACTTTGGGGCAGGAATTGTATGAAGATTAATTTTGGATCTGGGATTGGAACTGGTTAGGGTTGAAATAGAAGCTGAGGATAGGGCTGAAGTAGAGCACTGTGGGGGGTGCTCAGTCAGGAAGGTGCTTGCGGGGCAAGCATGGGGACTGACATTTCATCCCCCAAACCTGTGTGAAACAGCTGGGCATAGGGCTGGCGGGCTTGCCCAGTGGTTAGAGCATGTAGTGTTCTTGCAAGCAACCTGAGTTGTCTCCAGGCTCCCACAGTGGGCAGCTCACGACAGCCTGTGACTCCAGCTCCAGGGAGCACCAAGTCATCTGGCCTCTGAGGGCACCTGTACTCACATGCACACACCCAAATACAGAGACCCACATGTACATACAATTCAAATAATAAAATGCTAGGCATGGTGTCTGAAAATGCTAGTAATCTCTGGGAGAGGCAGAGACAGCTAGCTCCCTGAACCTTGCTGCCAGGTCAGCCTAGTCTAATTAACAAGTTCCAGGTCAGTAAGAGACCCTAACTCAAAGAACCAAACAAAACAAACAAGCAACTGGAAAGTGGGACTGGGAGATGGCTCAGAAGATAAAGTGCTCTTTGGACAAGCATGAGGACCCGAGTTTGTATCCCTAGCACTCGTGTAAAGGCTGGCTGTGGTGACACACTCCTGTGCTTGTGGGAATGAGGCAGAGAGAGACCATGAGAACTCGCTGGCAGATGGACTAGCTTAAATGACAAGCATCATCTTCAGTGAAAGAGCATGTCTTAAAAAACAAGGTTGAGAGAGATAAAGAAAGATACTCAATGTCAAGCTCTGCCCACCGCATATGCATGCAGGGATGCACCTACACACATTGTACACTCTCATGTATGCAGCATGCGCACATACACACACACTCACACTGTGCACAGATGCACATGATATACACACGTGTGCAAAATAAATAAATGGCTCCCGAGGAATTACTGGTAGTTCTACGGTTTCCACATATATGTATATATGTATACAGACGGACAGACAGACAGACAGACACACACACACACACACACACATATATATATATATATATACTCACATGAACATATGCATTTTAATTAAGAACTATGGTTTGGATCTAGAATATCCAAACATCTGTTAAGAAAAGAACTGAGGTTATAGATAAGGTTAGTGTTAGGATGGAAATCAGGTGAGAACTGGGCCAAAGACACGGTTGAGTTTGAGTCTTAGACTGCCTAGGTATTGTGGATGCCACAGCCCACACTAGAGTCCAGCGCTAGTGCACTCCCAAGCCTTACACAAACCCTGTCTATATCTGCATACTTCCTTCCACCCAAGGCCTAGAGCCCTCCCCTCCCTGCATCCCCTTACTCATTCCCTGCCCCACTGGTCTCCCTGGCAACCCTGGCCCAGTTACCTGTGTGAAGTCTTGGCTTCTCTCTGCAGCAATGACCAGAGGCGGGAACTCAGTCAGGGTCGAGAACTGTATCTTAGAGGGTTGGTCTGTGGGAGGGACCAAGCAGAAACCACAGACATGTCAGAGTTTATTCAATCCTTTGCATCTCAAGGTCCAATGGTCCATTCTCCTTTGCATCTTGAATGGTCCATTTGGGAAATGTCCAAATCTCTGAGCTTCTGACAGTCAACACTGAGGGAATGGGCACTTGAATGTGAGTGGGGAATACCAGTGTTAGGGCAAAGAACAAGATTCATTTCCACCCGCCAGGGAGTGCCGTCACACATTCCTCTTTCTTGAGCCTCCTAGGACTTCCTCATTTTTCACTTGGTGGGAAGGGGGGTTATAACAGAGGGACAGTCTATTTTCTTCTCCTAAGCCTCTGATCTTCATTTGCTTCCTGCCCACAACTTTCCAAGAAGTTCAGCATCTCTGTCATTGAACACCACTGCATAAGATTCCAGTCACTGCTCATATTCAAAACCTGGTGTGACTCCCTGACACCTGAGTCTGAGGACCTTAGCCATTAAGCTCAATCTTCACTCCCCTCACTCCACCCAGGTGGACAGAGAGGGTTAGAATCCATGTTCTCACCAGACATGGAGAGAATAGGCAAGGAGGAAGAGCATTGTGTCTTATTAAGCATCGATTCTGTGCAGGAGTGTATTGGCTTCTGCTAGAGCCTCAAGAGGCACTGTGGAAGGAAATAGCTGAAGATCAAACACCACGATATCCAACACCCAGCCTCGCTCTCTGTGCCTGCTCAGCCTTCACCATGTTCCTTGTCAGCACTCGGCTCCTCACAACACATTTTCCTTTCACGTAGGAACCCGAGTGTTGAGAAGCAAGTGAAAATTTTCAGGTGTTTTTGTTTGTTTCTTTTCTTTTGTCATTGTTATTGTTTTCATTTTGAAAGCACTGTTCTTTTGAGACTTACTTGTTTTTACTGAATTGATATGTGTCAGTACTGTTGTACACATTCAGTCATGAAGATAAGCTTGGTTTGGCCACATTGCTGCATCACAGCCACCAAGATAAAGTTCCATCCCTTCGTGACTTCTGACCAAAGCAAGAAACGAAAACAGCATATCAGTGCATCTTCTCACATTCAGAGGAAGATCATGTCTTCTCCTCTTCCCAAAGAACTGAGACAGAAGTATAATATTCCGTCTATGATAAGTGGTCCAAGGGTGCAGGAAGGCATACATCATCTACGTTGACCGAGTCCAGCAAGAAAAGGCTAACGGCACAACTGTTCATGTGGGCATCCACCCCAGCAAGGTGGGTATCCCCAGGCTAAAGCTGGACAAGGGCCACAAGAAGATCCTGGAGAGGAAAGCCAAGTCTCAGCAAGTTGGAAAGGAGAAGGGCAGAAAAGATGGAGAAGATGCAGGAGTAGAGACATCTTAGGCGTGACTTTCATTAAAGAGTGTTTAAGTAAAAAACGACAACAGGACCAAACCCTCTGGGTTCATCTGCATCTCCTTTCGTCCATCCTTCCATTTAGTTATTCATGACTTCCCTATTTATGTTTGTGGTTTTCCATCTCAGCTTTGTTTTATTCGTTCTGTGATATTTTGACGAGTCTGTATTTTTGTTAGAGCTATAGCTTGGATCTAAACACCTGCTATTGGGAGGTAATGAAACCTTTTAGAGGCGGCTGAGTGGAAGGCCTTCTTGTCATGGAGTTGTGTGAGATCCCAGCCCTTTCCTCTTTCTCTTTTGCTACATAGCCAGGAACTGGGCAGTTGTGCTCCCACATACTCCTGACATGATGTTCAGACTTGCCATGAGCACAATGCAGTGGGACCAACCATAGGCTGAAACCACAGAAAATCTGACTCCAAATAAGGCTGTCCTTTTTATAAGTTAATTGTCTTGGATAGTTTTTATAGGGCAGAACACTGACTAACACAGGTTTTTTTTACAAGGTATTGCTGAAATTGAATGGGTGACAGGAGATAGGTTCCTTAGTGGGAACTGACCCTTTGAAAAGAACAGAGAAGAACAAAGGAAGGAGACCCAACATGGCATCAAGCAGTCTGTGCTCTACATGGTTGAACTATAAAGACTGCCCTTGATCATAACAGTTCTACTCTAGAGAAATGATGCTTACATCAAATCTGTAGATCCCATTCAAGGAATACAGTCATTTGCACAATACAAATTCTGTCAATTTGTGAAGAAAGGAGTTCTTTGCTTCTCCTTGTCTTCTTCAGCTTCTTTCTGAAGTTTTTATAGAGGGCACATGGTGCTTGTGCTCAGAGAAGGATAGAGAAACCAGGCATGGTAAGCACCCATGCTTGTCTGTCAATGGAAGAGATGTATACCTGTTTTCTACCAGAAGGCCAGGGGTGGATGTGAATAATAGCCTGGTGATCTGTGCTCTCTGTAGGGCCAGACCCCACTCAAACCCCCAGACTCTTATGCTTAGTCTTCCTCTCTAGGCCTTTACCTTGAGCACTGTTTCTCAGTCAATAGAGTCAATCCCTAGGGGAGATGTCACATGTACTTTGTAACTTAGTGACCTCTACAATACCTCTATGACTTAGACCACACTCTACCCCCACCTAAGTCCTTAGAGCTATAAAACCAGTCTTTATGGAAGAGGTCACATGTACTTTGCTAAAGAATTTCAATGTGTCACATCTTGTACTTTATTGTACATATGGGATTGAGATCATTGTCACTAGAAACTTTTTCCAAACTTGCACTGTACTTAAATGTCTAAAATAAATGGCCCAGTGTCAGACTTCAGAAGTCTGAAGTAGTCCTGCTAACTAAGGTGTGTCAAACCTGATTTCCTTTCTCTTGCAGGAGGATTTCTCATGATCTCAGTCTGCTGGTGGTGGCTCAGGGACCCCACAAGTTTTCACAGAGGAGGTCTTTTGCCTTGGCTCAGATGGACTCCCAGGGTCTTGTATAAGCTCTTGTGGGTGGGACTGATTTCCTGACTTCTTTCAAGGCATGCTCACCATTAGTGTGCAGAGAACATGCCATTTTTTTCAGGTGTCCAGTTGGAATCCTACAACTCTGCTGAGAGTCATCACCAGACCAAGAGTTTCAAGATGGAATCTTTAGGAGCTTTTAAATATAGGATCACATTGCCTAAAACAGGGATGGGTAGGCTTCTTTGATTACTGTTTCTACATCTTATACTTATTTCTATCACCATTGTCCCAGCTGAAAGTGTTGGGTTTCAGACCAGGGACGAGACTGAAGTACATATTTAACATACCAAAATGGATCTGGCCTCCAGGTTCTCCCAGCATCCCTCTGTCCCAAACCTGTGACAGGACATAGTTAGCATACCCCTGCCCTCTATGCTGAACCTTCCAGCCCAGAAACTGGGCTTTCTCTCTCCCAGAAGCTCTTCCATTTGTAATCCAGACATTTTGGTCTCTCTCTTTTCTCTCCTCTCTCTGCACCTTCTGTCTTCCTGCATACACACAATCATTCTCTCTTTCTCTTCCCCCTGCCCTCTCTCTGTCTCTTTCCCTGTGGCAACTTCCCTGGCCTCCTTCCTTGGTACCAATGAACTCCCCAAGACCTGCTTCCCAAGGAATCTGCCTTTATATACTTTACTTTGATTTGATTTGACTTGAGTTACCTCATGTCATCATCAGAAATAACTTATCAGAAAGGTCAAGCACTATACTGATTAAGTTAAGTGAACATTCTTGTCTGGTTCCTGATACAGAGAAAACACTTTTGCATTTGTTACAATGTTGGCTAGGTTCATGTTAAAAATCTTCTTTCGGTTAGGTACCTTGTCAAGGGTAGCCTTGCTTATACACTGAAGGCCTAAAATCAGCAATAGGCCTAAGGCAGCTTGCTAACACAAAGTCTTGGGTCTCTGTGGAAAAACACTAAAACAGATAGCTATAAGCTATTGTAAACAGGCAGCTTTAGTGGAAATTTACCAGCCTGGATAAAGACAAGTAGTCATAGGTCTTGTATCCACAAGATAGTACCCACAACACAAGATAGTCATAGTTCTTCGGTAGCCTTGGTGGATAGTATCAACTTAGATAAGGACAAGTGAATCATAGGCAGAGTCATGCTGACCTGTCCCCTGAACCTTCACCCAGCTCACACTCTGTTCTGGAAGATACCTGTACTCTCCCTGAACACCTATGCTCCTGCATCATCCCCTTCCCAACATCCTGCCTTTTTGTGTATATAACCCCTGTGTGAAAAATTTAAAATAGTCAGTTTGATTAGCCTATAGACAAGCTGATGTTCTTTGTTTCTGCCTGTTTTCCCTCCACTCTCTTTCAGGTGATCTCCCTGGACCCCTGTTTAATGCCCTGTTAAACAGGGCATTCTGGTGCCCAAAGTTGGGGGGCTTGAAGACGAGACATTTTGCACACACACACACCCCAGGGTTCAGGGGCTCAAGGAGATCACAGAAGAGGGACTGACAGATCTTAAGAGGAAGATAGGCCTACCAGTTTTTCCCGGAGTGTTGAGGTTGGCTGCCCGGAGTGTATGAAGGCACTCCCAATCTCAGAGCACTCTTTAGAGTGACTCCCAAAGGAGCACCCAAGTGAGATATCTCCCCCAGGAGGTGCTTGAGAGCACTGCTATTCAGAAGGATACCATAGTCCACCCAAATGTGGGACAATCCTTGGGCAGATCAGAGCTGCGATGCCTTGAGGTAAAAGACCCCTAGGACATGTATTTTTGTGACAGACTCAAGGAGTGAGTCACCCTGGGTGCAAGGAATTAGGGTTAAGAAAAGACATGGGACAAACCTTCTCTAAACAGTGACTCTTTGTGACACGGCTCAAGGAGCCTATATTCAGGACACAAGGAACTAGGATTAAGAAAAAAGGATCTTTAAAAATTCTTTGCTTTCATTAGTGTTGTTTTCCCAAGAGGGGACTATTGATAAAAAATGTTATATCTCCTAAGGAAGAGATAAGAAGTTAAACCTTGAAAATGAGAGAGAGAAAAATTGAAAACAGTTGCCCGCTCTCTGGCATGTTAACAAAAGAAAAACAAAAAGCTTATTACAGAGCCCTCCTGGGAGCAGGAGATGATTGGGGGACACCCTGATCTCTCTGGCTCTGATTGGGGAAATTCTCAGTCGTATTTTCTCTGTTTATTGTCTGTTCTTGGTGCAACAATTTGTCCATTTCTGTGTCATGTGTCGGCTTTGTCTTGTTGTTTGAATGATTGTTGTTCTATGTTTCATATTCAAAAGAAAAACTGGTTAAAACTACTTGCTTGATTTAGTTTGAAACTTGCTTGAAAACAACAGTTTCCATTTACACAGCAGAGATTTATCTACCCTGTTCTGTGGCTGGGAGTAAGGCACAAACTGCTCTTGGAGGAAGGCCAACAGTTTTTTGGCTTCTGTAGTAAGAGAGTTGATAGTGGTTCTTACCAGTTTGATAAATGAAAGGGTGCTTTTCTCTTAAATTACAGCTAAAAAGGTAAGAAAAATTTGTTTAGATGTGCATTTATTTTTATTCTTGATTGGTTTTGTTTTTCTTTTTTTTGCTTTTTCTTTTCTTTTTGTTGTTGTTGTTGTTGTTGTTGTTTCGAGACAGGGTTTCCCTGTGTAGCTCTGGCTGTCCTGGAACTCACTCTGTAGACCAGGCTGGCCTCGAACTCAGAAATCCACCTGCCTCTGCCTCCCAAGTGCTGGGATTAAAGGCGTGCGCCACCACTGCCTGGCCTCTTGATTGGTTTTAAAAATATATAAGTAAGCTTTAAATGTCCTGGCTATATATTATTGGGTATGATTATAAATTTATAATTTTGATAACAAAAAGCTAGATTAAAACTGGTAATTCAGAGTTAAAGTCATTCAAAACCCAGATATATAAAAGAGATCTCAGTAAGAGTTTTATCTGGGATCAAACAAGGCCCTGATAAACACCTTCTTTTGTTACACAATTGGCTTATTAATTGATCCCTTTAAAAGAGTTCTAATACAAGCCTTTGCTCTCATACAATGAGCTTTAAAATTTTAGAGAGTGCTTGTTGCTCCAAAAAACATCCAAAGACAATATCTTTTTAATATCTGAGACATCAATTATATTCCTAAATAAATTGTAACACATAAAATTCAAATAAGAAAAGATAGCTTACTTATTTTAAATTATTTTCAAAAGTTTCTAAGAGATGCTAATTGGCTAAGATCTTATTTTAAGCTCTCCACAAAAGAATTTAAGCCTCTGTTTAATGTTCTCAAGAGAGATACAAATCCTAATTTCCTTCAACAATAATTGGCAAAAGAGGAGTAATTTTACAAAAAGTTTTAAAAAAGTTACTATTAATAGATATATTATACAGATTGATTAGTTGTTGGCTGTTTTATAACAGTCCTTTGATAACAGAGATCATTAATATAGATTTATATTTCTTTATCTCCAAAAGAAGTTTTAGCATCCTGTTTT